ACCTTTCTTAATTTTAAACCATTCAGTGTTCCCATGTTCTGTTCGAACAACTGCCTCTTGGTCCATGTACAGATTCCTCACGAGCACAATTAAGTGTTCAGGAATACTCATACTTCACAATGGTGTCCATAGCTTGTCATGATCCACACAATTGAAAGCCTTTGCGTAGTCAATAAAGCACAGGTAAACATCTTTCTGGTGTTTTCTGCTTCAAGATCCATCTTACCTCAGCAATGATATCCCTCATTCCACGGTCTCTTCTGAATCTGGCTTGAATCTCTGGAAGTTCTCTGTCAATGTATGCTTGCAGCCATTTCTGTATTACCTTTAGTAAAACTCTACTCGCATGGGATATCAAAGACCTTGTCCCATGACTTCCGCATTCCGTTGGGTTACCTTTCTTTGGAATGGGCACAAATACGGATCTCTTCTAATGAGTCAGCTAGATAGTTGTCTTCCAAATTTGTTGGCAAAGACGAGTGAGTGCCTCCAGTGCTACCTCACTTTCTTGAAAGATTTCAATTTGTATTCCACCAATTCCTGGTGCCTTGTTCTTCGCCAATTCCTTCAACACACCTTGGACTTCTTCCTTCAGTATCACTGGCTTTTGATCATATGCTACCTCTTGAAGTAGATGAACATCAACCATTTCCCTTTGGTACAGTAACTCTGTGTATTCCTTCCATCTTCTTTTGATGCTTTCTCTGCATCATTCAATAATTTGCCCAGAGAATCTTTCAATAACACAAGTTGAGGCTTGATTTTTTCCCTCAGTTCTCCTAGTTTGAGAAATGCTGAGCGTGTTCTTCCCATTTGGTTTTCTGATTCCATATCTTTGCACATTTTGTTGTAATATTTGATTTTATCTTCTCAAGCTGACCTTTGAAATTTTCTGTTCAGTTCTTGTACACCCTCTTTCTTCCATTTGCTTTAGCATCTCTATGCTGGAGAGCAAATTTCAGTGTCTCTTCTGACATCCATCTTGATCTTTTCCTTCTTTCCTGTCTTAATGACGTTTTGCTTTCTTCCTGTAAATTTTCTCTGTTGAAAGAATGCATGTGGAATATTTCCATTTTTGTATACCTTGCGACTCGAAGGCACTTAACAACAACAACATACCTTGACATAGTTTAAAAAAGCCCAAAACAACACAAAACCAAGAGATTTCTTTGATCCTCTGTTTGGCAGAGGAAGGTCTTATAGCACAAACATCCCTTTCTTTATAAAGATGAGACCCTACCAATACGTTCCATTTCATGAACCCAATCTCGCGTTTCCTTGGATCCACATATCACACCTCTGAAGATGGCGCTTTGGCATGGCCTCACACTGCAGCTAAGCTGTCAGGAGGGCTGGGCTGCGAACAAGGGGCCTGAACTGCCCACTACCTGCCTAGTGAGTCTGCTGAGAGACAGAGTCCATGTCAGAAGTCACTTTGGAAGACTCCATCATAATGTTTCCTCTCCTTTGAAAGAACATCCCTTTCTAAAGTCTTACTAAAGGTACAGTGCCTAGCTGCCTTTCCAAATGGTGCTTTCAGGTGACTTGCATCAGCCCTACATTTGTTCAGTAGGTACTTGTGTCTAGCCACTATGGCAGCTCTGCCTACAAAGCCCTCACACAGGGTCGCCCCTATGCAATTCTCCCCACTGCTCTCTTCTGTATGCTGAGCAAATCATCCGAGAAGCTGGCTTATATTAAGGAGGACGTGGCATCAGGATTAGAGGAAGGCTCATGAAGAACCTGGGATATGCAGATGATACAAGCATGCTTGCTGGAAGTGAAGAGGACTTACAATACTTACTGATGAAGATCAAAGAGCACAGCCTTTGGTATGGATTGCATCTCAATGTAAAGAAAATAAAATTCCTTACCAGTGGACCAATGAACAACATTCTTATCAACGGAGAAAAGATTGAAGTTGTCAAAGACTTCATTTTGCTAGGTTAAACCATGAACACTCATGGAAGCAGCAGTCAAGAAATCAAACGATGTATTGCATTAGGCAAATCTGCTGCTGAAGACCTCTTTAAAGTGTTGCAGAGCAAAGATGGCAGCTTGAGGACTAAGGTGCGCCTAAGTCAATTACTTGTTGTTAAGTGCTGTAGCATCAGTTCGACTCCTAGAGACCCTTGCATAGGGTTTCTGAGGAGTGGCTGGTTGAGTTTGACTCGCCAACCTTTTAGTGCTTGGTCCTACAGCACCACACCAGGACTCCTAGCTAACCCTAGCTATGGCATTTTCAATAGCCTTGCACACATGGCACAGCTGGACAAAAGCTAAGGAAGACTGGCGCAAACTTGATGCCTTTGAATTATGGGGTTGGCACAGAATACTGAGCATACTATGGACTGCCAGAATGAACAAGTCTCCCTGAGATGCTCCCTGGAAGCCTGACTCATACTAGGGCCTTGTTATCAGGAAGGACGAGTCCCTGGAGAAGGACATCATGTTTGGTGAAGAGGAGGGACAGTGCAAAAGAGGAAGCCCTGCCATGACATGGGCTGACACAGTGGCTGCAGAAATGGGCTGATGCACAACAGCTGTGAGGAGGGCACAGACCTGGGCAGTGTCTGCTTCTGTGCTGCATATAGGGTGGCTGTGAGTTGGAATGGACTGGACACCACCAAATAACAACAACAATAACACACCTCATCGATGACTACAAACAACGATGAATACTATGAAGGAAATATACAGGATGGAGACACCCCATCTGCCCCGCAGCAGTTGAAGAACATCTGTTTAAGAAAGCCCTCAGGGAAGGTCACTGTGAAGAGACTCCGGCTCTACGTTTGAAAGGGCGCCCTCCAGGGCACAGGCAGGAGAAGGCGCATGCGTGGACCCTGAGGGGATGCGCGAGGTGCGCTCTAGGCAGATGCCAGGGCTGCAGTACTGCGCAGGCTGCGGAGGCTGGTGAACAGGGAGGCGGTGGCAGCGTGGCTGTGGTGCGGAGCCTGGTGTGGATGCTCATGGCAGGGGACCTCGCTTGTGTGTGGCAGGTAGTGGTGCCTGGAAAAGAGTCCTGGTGTGGTGCTGTAGGATAAGCACTGGACAGCTCACTGCAAGGCTGGTGGTTCAAATCCACCAGCTGCTCCTTGGAAGCCTGCTCCAGGGTTGCTGTGAGTCAGAACCGACATGATGGCACACAGCAACACCAGTGACTGGATCTAGCCACCCTGAGGGATGTGAAAGTGCCTGACATTAGGGATGCAGAGAAGGAGTCATCAAAAAAGGCCCTACAAAATGATGGCCAAGCCAGGGTGGGCTTGCACCTGTCTCTCAAACAAAACAAACACCCCCAAGCTCACTGCCATCAAGTCACTTCTGACTCCTAGTGGCCTCTAGGATGGAGTACAGCTGCCCCATATGGTTTCCACGGCTACCACCTCATCTTTCTCCAGAGGAGCGGCTGGTAGGCTCGAACTGCCAACATTTCCACGAGCAGTTGAATGCTTTCCCCACTGCGCCACTAGGACTCTTTCCTGTTCCTGTCATTGGTGTCATGTGTCATTGAGTCGGTTCCAACTCTGAGAGCGGCCCGTGGGTTTGAACCAACTACCATGCTGCTAGCAGTCCAGTGCTTATCCTCCAGTGCCACCCCAGGGCCAAATGCAAGGGAGAAGGACAAAAGGAGGAAATGGCTGTCAGGACTGGGAGCGGAACTTGTGAGGATGGTGTAACCCAGGACAAAGGGGGAATCGCCCAGTGTACCCATGAGGACAATGATGACACAGTGGAGACTGCTGCCAGAGGCTGCATGGAAGACAGGTTCCAGCAGCCAAGCACACCATGGGAAACTTGACCCCTGACAGGCTCACGGGCCCGCCACACACGCGCCCCCAACTTGTCATGCTACCGGCTATCATGAACCTTGCTGGAAGGAGCGTGGCACACACGGGACTACCTCACTGGGAGACGTGTGTGTGTGTGTGTGTATGTGTGTGTGTGTGTATGAATTCATACGGAGTCCTGGTGTGGTGCTGTGGGTTAATGTGCTGGACTGCAAGGCCAGTTTGAACCGCAAGGTTTGTGGTTCAAGCTCACCAGACACTTTTTGGAAATCCTACATAGACAGGGTCGCTATGTGTCAGAGCAAACTCGACGCCACTTAACAACAATATGTATACATATAAATATATATATACACACACACATATACACATACATACACACAGTGGTGCTGCAGGCTAATGTGCTAGACCTCAAGGTCAGTTTGAGGCACAAGGTCAGTGGTTCAAACTCACTAGTCACTCCTCAGAAACTCTATATAGGGTGGCTATGAGCCAGAACCGACTCGATGGCACTTAATAACAACATACACATACACATACACTTACCTATATGGGTTACTTTTTTCTTTCCTGGTATACACACACACACATATACACACACACACAACATACATATACTTACCTATACACATTACTGCATTCTTTCCTGATATATATATATTCATACACTTACCTGTAGGCATTAATGTAATCTTTCCTGTGCTCCAGAAGAAAGTCTCTCAGTTTGCCAATGTGGGAAATCTACAATTAAGAGAAAGTACATAATTTACACAGAGATGTAGATATTTTAAACTCATAATACATTTAAATGAATAGGGAGTGAAATGGGCTGCACAAAGAAGCTGAAGAGACAAACTGGGCAACTGTGGTTTTAGGTCCTGGACTACTGATGTGGCACTGTATGATAAGCACTGGACTGCTAATCTCATGGTCAGCGGTTCAAACCCACCAGTTGCTCATTGGAAACCCTTTACATGGTCGCTATGAGTTAGAACTGACTCAAAAGCACTTAACAACAACAATACCAATAGACACTAATGGGAAGCAAGGTGACTCAGTAGGATAAGTACTGGGCTGTGAACCACAAGGCTAGCAGTTCGAGTCCACTAGCTGCTCTGTGGGAGAAAGATGAGGCTTTCTGCTCCTGCAAAGCTTTACAGACTTGGAAGCCCTATACGGAGTTGTTATGAGTTGGAACCAACTAGATGTCACCTAACAACAAAAGCAACAGCCATGAACAGACTGTGTGATTTGGGGAAAGTCACCCCACATTCCCGGCTCTTTTTTTCTATCTAGAATCAAAAACAAACCTGACCCCAATCGAGTCCATTCTGACTCACAGTGACCCTGGACAGGGTTTCCCAGGTTGCCAATCTTTATGGGAGCAGAAAGCCCCGTTGTTCAATTGCAGAGTGGTGGTGGGTTTGAAATGCTGATGTTATGAAAAGAAGTTCTAGTGGCATGGAGGTGAAGAGCTCAGCTGCGAATAGAAAAGTTGGTGGTTCAAACCCTCCAGCATTAGCTCCATGAGAGAAAGATGTGGCAATCTGTTTCTGCAAAGATTTACAGCCTCGGAAGCCCTCTGGGACTGTCCCACTCAGACCTTTAGGGCCATATAAGTCAAGTTGACGGCAGTTGGTTTTGGGGTATATTGTTATGAAAATAGGATCTCTAAGGAACTTGGAGACTGAAATCATGCCTGTAAGCACTGGACCACAAGGTCGGTTTGAACCACAAAATTGGTCATTCAAACTCACCAGCTACTCCTTGGAAACCTTATAGAGAGTCTGTTATGAGTCAGAAGAGACTCAACAGCACTTAACAATTAACTCCACAGCTGTGCTCACAAGGCCAATGCCTTTCCTTATGACACCTAAGTGTCATTTGCCGTTGTTCATAAGTGCCGTTGAGTTGGTTTCAACTCATAGCGACCCTATGAATGCAACACTGCCCAGCGCCAGCGCCTAACAACTGTTATGTTAGAGCTCATTGCTGCTGCCACTCTGTCAGTCCCAACCCATTGGGGTCTTCCTCTTTTGCACTGACCCTCCACTTTTCCAAGCCTGGTGCTCTTCTTCAGGGACTGATCCTTCCAGACAACAAGTCCTAAGTACCAGACACCAGGCCTTGGCAGCCTCATTTCTCAGGAGCATTCTGGCCGGACTTCTTTTAAGGCATCATCGTGGTGATGAGCACAAAGTCTCATCTTTCTCCCACGGAATGGCTGGTAGATTCGAACTGATGACCTGCGGTTCGCAGCACAGGTCCTAATGCACTCCGCTAGTAGGGCGCCTGAGTCACAGCTACTGTATAACATCATGTCCAAACAAACAGAGTCCTGTGGAAAACTCCATAGCTGCAGCCACCCAGCTCTCAGAAGGCCCCCGCAGAGCAGCAGTGAGGAAGGCCGAGGGCAGTGAATGACCCCTGCACACACTCCGTCATCTTCCCTAGGGCCTGTCCCACAGACGAACACAGAGACCCCACAGGGACAAAGGGTGACATCTGACACGGCTGATGGCTAGTAGAGCAATAACCTGCCCTGAAGTACCTATCGTGTGTGTGTGGGGGGGCGAGGGATTCCAGATTAGTAAGAGTCCTAGTGTGGCTTTGTAGGATAAGCACTGGACTGCTAACCACGCTAACCACAAGGGCAACAGTTCAAACCTACCAGTTGCTTTTGGAAACTTAACATAGCGTCACCATAAGTTGGAACTGACTCAACGGCACACAACAATGACAGGCCATTAAGAGTCCTGGTGTGGTGCTAAAGGGTAAGCACTGGGCTGCTACCTGCAACGTAGGCAGTTCAAGCTCCCTAACTACACACCCTAAGCCACTGTGTACCCCGACTCCCTACACCCTAAGCCACTGCACACCCCTACTTCCCACACCCTGACCCGCTGAGCACCCCGACTCCCCACACCCTAAGCCACTGTGCACCCGGACCCCCCACACCCTAAGCCACTGCGCATCCCGACCCCCCACACCCTAAGCCACTGTGTACCCTGACTCCCTACACCCTAAGCCACTGCGTACCCCAACTCCCTACACCCTAAGCCACTGCACACCCTGACTTCCCACACCCTGACCCACTGAGCACCCCAACTCCCCACACCCTAAGCCACTGCGCACCCCGACTCCCTACACCCTAAGCCACTGCACACCCTGACTCCCCACACCCTAAGCCACTACGCACCCCGACTCCCCACACCCTAAGCCACTGCGCACCCCGATTCCCCATACCCTAAGCCACTGTGCACCCCGACTCCCCACACCCTAAGCCACTGCGCACCCCGACTCCCCACACCCTAAGCCACTGCGTACCCCGACTCCCTACACCCTAAGCCACTGCGTACCCCGACTCCCTACACCCTAAACCACTGCACACCCCGACTTCCCACACCCTGACCCACTGAGCACCCCAACTCCCCACACCCTAAGCCACTGCACACCCTGACTCCCTACACCCTAAGTCACTGCACACCCTGACTCCCCACACCCTAAGCCACTGCGCACCCCGACTCCCCACACCCTAAGCCACTGCGCACCCCGATTCCCCATACCCTAAGCCACTGCGCACCCTGACTCCCTACACCCTAAGCCACTGCACACCCTGACTCCCCACACCCTAAGCCACTGCGCACCCCGACTCCCCACACCCTAAGCCACTGTGCACCCCAACTCACCACACCCTAAGCCACTGCGCACCCTGACTCCCCACACCCTAACCCACTGCGCACCCCAACTCCCTACACCCTAACCCACTGTGCACCCTGACTCCCTACAGTACACTGCTCCATCCCCCCACGCCGGGTCCCAACACACCATGCAGCAGCAGGAAACCCCCAAGTCCTGTGCAATGAGCACATGTACACACGTGTTCAGAGTGGTCAGGAGACAGGGCAGTAGGAACTCGTGGCATTTCTCACCCAGTGTAGGCCAGGTGCTCCTACTGGTCTGTCTCCGGAGGATCTCAGAATGCATGCCACATGCTCACTGCATGGGACGTGGGGGCCTCCTGCTGCCTGCAGCGTGGCATTACATTTCTTGCTCACCTGGTCTAGACTGACAATAACTGGTTCAGAGATCACCAAGTATCTCAGAGCATGACTCAAAGGAAAATCAAGTGTGCGGACAAAGATGGTTTCCTGAGCACCCGCTCTGTACCACCCAGCCGAGTTAGAGCTCTTCCTCAGCGGCTCGTAGGGCTGTGGTGTCGTGAAGCAGTGTGGGGAAGGGATCCTCCCATGGCCGAGCTCACTGTCACACCTGAGACTGAGCCCAAAGCCCAGAGTGCTCCCTGTTCTCCTCAGCTGTCAAGTTCAGTTCCCATTTTCAACTTGAACATACATTATGAAATCTGACTTTTAAAGCCTGTTTGGGGGTAAAAAATTCAGGTGTTCCATGATCAAATACCAGGCTCAGTCAAGTCACTTTGGTGTTTCAAAATTCCCAGTGGTTTTCCCCAGCCCCTGATTTCATGCTCCGCTGCCCAGGCTTGTCAGCACCTCAACTGCCTTTATGGGCCAAACCCCACAAATGAGGGACCATTTGGCAGTGCTGGATTCTGGTCGCAAACACGTTACAGGCAAAGGGAGCTGTTGGGCTGGCTGGACTGACCAGACAGATCTGGAGGGGTGACCTCAGTACCTATAATGGAGTGGAGTCCACACTGCCCAGTTCAGCCCCAGAAGTCCTCTGGCTAAAGACCTGCCACGACCCCTACCTCTGAGATCTAGGTGGCAGGGCTGCACCCTCTCCCACCTCTCTCTCCAGGTCACTTGTCCCCCCTTCTCCTCCCTTCCCAAGCCCACTGCCCACCCCCAGGCCCATCCTGCCTGCACATCCTCAACCCCTCTCTCAGCGGATCAGAGCGCCCTCACTCTGCCTTGTCCACATGGATCGGGTGCCTCCAGGACTTGCTACATGTTAAATTAACAGTAGGCACTGAAGAACCCCCTGCAAATCAACATCTACTACATGCTAGGTAGATGAATGACTGCCCCCCTGCTCTGTGGGAAAGATAGCCCTGTCCCCAGCGGCCTATGAACACATTCTGAGGCCAAGGTAGCGACGGAACTGAGGTTGCTCATCAGTTGACCTTAAAAACCAGGAGAAAAGCATCCCCTAGAGTGTCCAGGGGGACGATGTAATCACAAGCCATAGTGGACAAGGGTCTGAGTGTGCTCAGCTCTGCCTTTTTCTCTCCTCTTCTCAGACCTGCCCGCCAGCACACAGTGCATCTTTTGGTCTGTGCTGCCCGTACTTGGCCACAAATCTAAAGGCATACTCTTCATCTGGCTAGCACTTGTTCTGATTTCTCTATTCCCGTCTCAGGTGGTTCCAAAATAGGGCCCAGAAGTCAGGGGTGTGTTTTTTTTCTTTTTTTAAAATGTTTTACTGTGAATTATGTGACAGCTTACATGGGAGAACATTAGTTTTACACTCATCCTATCGTATATCGTTTCATTGCCATGGTTAGGGGTGTGTTATTCTAAAAGCTCCCCTGACCTCATAACCCTTGCCAACTGAGCAAGTTGCTCCATACCCCTGGGACTGATTCCAAAGGGATGGGCAAAAATGATTTAAGCCAAAACAGTAGTGGGAGTTAACAGCCAGCCTTACAGAATGCCTACTACGTAAGGCCCTGCTCTAAGTGCTGAACATCTCCCATCTCGCCCACTCTCCCTAACGAGCCATTTTACACAGGAGGCCACACTGAGGATGTTACAAAATGT